ACGGCCACGTCGAACGGGCGAACGGCATGATCCTTGATGCCCTCAAAAAGAGGCTATATCAGAAAGAAGAAAAACATCCGGACAGATGGCTCAAAGAATTACCAACTGTGGGTTGGGGACTGCGCACTCAAGCTAGTCGCAGCACCGGTGTGTCCCCATATTTCTTGGTTTACGGTTCAGAAGCCATACTACCAGCGGACATTGCCTTCCGAGCAAGTACGGCTATCGATACTAAATGTGATCACATTCGCTAAGTGTTTCGATCACTAAACCGAAAAACTTCTATCAATTTTACTTTTGCCTTGAGCTTTTTGTTTTTCTTACTTTTTTTCTAAAAGTTTGGCTGCTCATTCTATCTTTATATTACCTTACTATTGTCTTAAGGACGGACATTCATTTAAATAGGAAATAGGTTGCTATGTGCATACAAAATAACACTAAGTGCTCTGAGCATATAGAAGTTTGAGCATATCTCTGTGCCACAACCTACTGATGTAGCACGGTCTGCTGGAAGTCTAGCTGTAGATGCCATTGCAAGTGTGACAGGTATGGTAAGATATTTCCATGATCATTTTCAGACAAACATGTTTCTTTTGTCTAATGTGGATGGCCGTTGTGTAGTGTTATTCCTACAGGCATTAAGAGCTCTTCCAGTCTGTCAGCTTTACTGAGTTACTAGCCAAAGCACGTGCAAAGGCAGTTCTAAGTTGCTTCTCATTTTACATTTCTAGGTTCATGCTCTACTACATATTGGCAGTTGTAACTAGCAGGAATATGTTCCTTAGGGCTACATGGACATAAAGTAACGATCATTGTTGTCTTCCATAGAGGATTACATTACAGTACATCTTCAAACTGGTTACTAAAGTGACTCAAAATTCACTCTTCTTGTTCATGAGGGTCTTTTGATCTTTTGATTGAATGAAAATACTTTCCTGTGTTGCAGGTTTGTTTTTAATATATTTGAAAGGTGGTTCTTTACTGTGTGACAGAAGTCATGCCTGTCCATGACTAAGTAAACTTCTAGCAATTTCATTGGACAAAAGGCTCCTAGGCAGCTAGCCACCAATGTTTATAATAATTTGATCTTTCTTATGCCATTTTTTTCGTTACTGCCTGCTATTGAGAAAGCACCGTGAAAGTTTGCCAATATGCCAATACCATTTTAGAAGTAAGAAATTTTATTTTTATTGCCAGGAATGTTCTCTATAACACATTATTTGCATTTGCAACTATAAGTGATTCATGTGTGCTCTTGCCATAATACTCTCTGGTATATTCTTATTAAAATGTACCAAGCTCCATGAGCACACTTTATTCCTTATTAAATGTACCAAGCTCCAAGGGCACACTTTATTAATGGAAATGTAAATTTCTCTTTATAGATTTTATCACCAAATCAATTGTAAGTATCGTTTCCCGTAGCATTAGCACGGGTACTATACTAGTAATACAAGTAGCCAAACACATCATGATTTTCAAAGAGTAAATGGCACCCAAGAAACACTAGTTTATAAATCTTGTGGTATTGTATGGCTTTGGTTTCTTTAAAAATATATAGTTTGTAAAATTGACAACTACAATAAGGAAAAAGTCCATTTTACCTCCCTTGAGCTATCCTCAAAGTCTAGTTTTCCTCTATAAACTCTAAAACCGGATAAACCACCTTCCTCAACTTTTCAAACCATTTATTTTACCTCCCTGACCAGTTATAGGTGGTTTTCAAAGGCGGTTTTATATTTTTTCTTTTTTATTTATTTCGGCTAAATTTTTAAAAAAATCATAGTAAATCACATAAAAAATAATAAAATGGAAAACCTAATTTTATTGGACTCCATGTGAGTAGATCTTCACAGTAAATATATAATATGGTATGCTTTACTATAAAGTTTTTATTGTAGCTTTAGATCTATGATTTTCTGTAATTAATTCAAAGCTGCAGTTTCTAAGGTTCAATTGTGGTGAAATTTTATGGTGAGCTAATTATTATATGATTGAACTTTATTAAAATATTTCATGCTCATTGGATCATATATAACTGAGTTATAAATTTATTTAGTTTTATGCTTGTTAAATAGTTAAAAGTGTGTAAAAATGGAAATGAGTATGAAATTTTTATTACAGTTAAAGGATACAATAGTTAGACCATCATAAAAATTTCACCACAATTGTATCATAGAAATTGCAGCTATAAATTAATTATAGAAAAGCATAGATCTAAAGCTACAACAAAAACTTTGTATTAAAGCATACCATATTATATATTTGTTGTGTAGATCTACTCATGTGGAGTCTAGAAAAAATTAGATTTTCTATTTTATGATTTTTCTGTGATTTACTATGATTTTTTAAATATTCAGCGAAAATAAATAAAAAAGAAAAAGACAAAACCGTCTTTGGAAACCACTTATAACCGGGCCAGGGAAGTAAAATGAACGATTTTAAAAGTTGAGGAGGTGATTTAACCGGTTTTCGAGTTACTACACTTGATAGGAGGTAAAATGGACTTTTTCCCTGCATTAACCAAACGTAATTGGAGAATCCGATTTGATCCGTGGGCCTACATATTCACCAGCTTCAAGCCCACAATTTTTAGGGTGCATTCACCGCTAGCCTTTTCTTTCTCCCATCCACCCTTCGCGGTGCGCATTCTCGTGGCGGTACTGGCGACCGCCGCCGCCGCCACGTGAGCCTCGTAGGCTCCTTCTCCAGTTCTTCGTCGGGACCTTCACCGGCAACCAACAACCACCAGGTATGAGCACCCCTCCTCTTCCCTTCCTGCTGTGTTGTGCGAAACCGAGCACCAGAACCCTAACCTAATCTATTTGGTTTTTTTCAAAAGTTATTGGGCGTACAATGTCATTTACTGGGGCCGCCCCTGACCACGAGCTGGAGATGAAGGTGGCCAAGTATTCACGGGGGAAGGGTGCCGACTTGGAGGATGGAGGTAATCCATTATTGTGCTTTTGCAAACGAGTTTCAAGTGTTAATCATTCTACTTAGGATGAATATGCTAGCCAGCTATGCTACTGATAGTTCCTCTTGAAACTGAACATTGACTAGTTTGGTTCTGGAATGGCTTTGTAGGCGCTGTGGGACAAGAAGTTGAAAGGCCAGCTCACTGTAAAAGAGAAGCTACTGCAAAAGCTGCTGCCCAACACCGTTTATACCAGCAAATTGAAATGCTCGACCCTGGAGATGAGGCTATTTTTAAGCTGTTCCTAGAGAGGTACAAGGGGTCACCTCCTCCAAATGTGGTAGCAGCCCTTACTGCTCTGGCTCACGTGCGCAATGGTTCATCCAGGGGGGTCAATGTTACTGTGGCTGAAGAAGTTGAGAAAGAAGATGAGTAATAGGATGTAGCTCCTTTTCTCTTGGTTCTATGTTGTTTCCTTGGTTGCCAGTAATCCCTTAGGTTTTTCTCACCTTGGTTGGTAATCCTCGCCGAGCGAGTTGTTTAAGTTGTATTGTGCCTCTAGTGCATGTATCTGCCTCCTTTTTTTCATATAAGCTGGCTTTGTCGGATCTTAAAAAAAAACTGCTGCACATGAGAGCTCCCAAGGCACAACAAGCCAATATGCTGGTGCTCGTGAGTGCTCGAAGGCCCTCTTATTGTAGAATTTTTTAAAAAATAATAGTATTTTAATTTTTAATTACAAATATAGCATTTGGATAAAACAAATTATAAATCTATTAGTCTGTCAGCAGCTGGATGGCCGATAGGAGCCCTATGGGCAACTAGAGAGCCGACAGGGCCCTATCGGCCGCCCAGTAGCCGATTAGCCTCTACACGTTGGTGGACACGGCACACCGATAGGCTTATTGGCCCTAGACGGCCGATAGGGCCATGTCGGCCTTCGGTTGGCCGACATGCCTTGGACCCACAGGCTTATCGGCCCATCGACGGCCGATAGGGCCTTGTCGGCATTCGGCTGGCCGGTAGGCCTAAAATATCTACCGCGGGCGTCTTCCTCATCGTGCGCGCTCTCTCTCGCTCCCTCGCGTACTCTATCTCTCTCACTGCTGCGCCGCCGCCGCCGCCGCCGCTGCTCGCCCGACCAACGCCGGATCCTGCTGCGAGCGCGCCACTGCCGCCCCCATGCGCGGGCCCTCGACCGGCGCCTGCTCGCCCTCGGCCAGCCCCGGGCCGACAGGTATGTATTTTTTTTGTAAATTTAGATTTCCCTTTTTAGTTACTTTAGTTAGATTTTGTTAGTTTTAGTTGTAGATTAGTTAGATTTGATTAGGGTTAGATTAAATAGTATATTTAGTTTGCAGTTGTAGATTATGGTTAATTTTAGGGTTAGGGTTAGGGTTAGTTTAGTTTGATTTTGTTTTTTAGTTAGTTTAGTTAGATTACTCGGTATATGTAGTTAATTTAGTTTAGTTAGATTAGTTAGTTAGTTTAGTTTTAGGGTTAGTTTTAGTTGTAGATTAGTTTTTTAGTTGGATTTTTAGGGTTAGTTATTTTTAGTTAGGTTCTATGGTTCGGTTTATTTAGGATTATGGTTTAGTTTCGGATAATTCTTTTGGATTAGGGGTAGTTTAGTTAGTAGTTTGATGTTAGGGTTAGTTTTCTTATAGTTTATTTTGTATAGTTGAGTTGGTTCGCATGGTACTTCTTTTAACTGACTCAATGCTTTGCACGATGCGATCAGGAATGTCGACCGATTTAGTCCCTTTCAAAATTTACCATGGCAGCGGTGAAATCATATATGGGGACAGTGTGGTAGACCTTAGCGAGGTCTAGGTGCCGCAATGCATGCATCTTAATGCAGGTATAGACATGATGAGACTTAATGCAGGTTCTTGCTCTTTAAGTCAATCTTACCATGTAATAAAGAAAGCAATGCATGCATCTTGGCTTTTTCCCCAATTTGGTTGGCCAGTTGGTCAATTAGCTCAATAGGGATGACTGACTTGTTCTTCCTTGTTTTGGTTTATACCTGTTGTAGAGCCAGAGGTGGTTGCTGTCCCAACTGTGACTGCCAAATTAGAGGATGAAGCACGATCAAGATGAAGATACCTGTTTCCAGGAAGCTGATCAGTACAAGGATGCTGAGCTTGAGGTCTCCAATCTGCTGGGCAAGGACACCCCAATGCTTCCTTGCTTGCTCCCCTCGCCCTCAGAAGCCATTGGTACCGATGGAAGCAGCACAACCTGCGGTGCGGGTGGCAGTGTTTCCAATTCCATCGCGCCATCGACAACCACCAACACTTTCGCCGGTCTGTTTGCGTCAGCCACAACAAGCAGCACTTCCTAGAGCAGATCTCTGCGCGATCTCATTGGTGTTGATCCCACCTTCCTTTGCCTTGCAATTGGAGCGCCCTCGATGTTCCAGCAGACGAGCGCAAGCAATTCAGGCACCTTCGCTCCGCCTCCGGCGCCACACATGTCCGCGACAGCGCTCCTGCAGAAGGCAACAGAGGCTGGAGCGACGCAATCGAGTTCATCGTTCTTGAAGGAGCTTGGGCTTCCCTCTTCCTCTTCGTCATCGCCTCCATCAAAGCAGCAACCCCAAGGAAGGATCGCTGATATCAGCGCGGAACCATGGCAGTACCGGAGGAATCAGCAAATGGAGATGGAGCGCCACCAGAGTCATCAGCGGAGGGAGATGGAGTCCAGTTCACAACCATGGCACCCCCGTAGTACTCAGCAAATGGAGATGGAGCGCCACCACCTGAGTCATCAACAAAGGGAGATGGAGTCCAGTTCGCAACAATGGCACCACCACCGGAACGACCAGCAGATGATGGGGTTGGAGAGCTACCGGAGTAATCAGCAAATGCAGATGGAGATGGAGTCCAGTTCGCAACGATGGCTGCACCACAGGGGCTATCAGCAGCAAATGGAGATGGATTCCAGTTTGCAACGGTGGCCGCACCACAGGAGCAACCAGCAGCAAATGGAGATGATGGAGCGGCACCACCGGAGTAACCAGCAGCAAATGGAGAGGGAGTCCAGCCAGATGCTATCTGGCTGTCTCGGCCTTGGCCTTGCATACGAAAGTGGAAACTCAGGCTTGCCGGACCTGATGATGGGACCATCACCACTGTTCGGTCCTAAGCCTGCTGCAACGCTGGACTTCCTTGGGCTTGCATCGGAGGGACCATGGGCGGCTCCACGGTTGCCAACCGTGGCCTCCCGGCATTGATGATTGGAGGAGAGCTGGACATGGGGTCTTCGGCACAGGTGCCTGCGCCATGGGAGGACGCCAAGAGGAAGACCACCAACGGCCGCACGATTGTAACAGTAGTGTAGTATGTCGGCCGTTGGATTGCCGATAGTTCATGTATCGGCAACTGAAACGCCGACAGGTCTCTATCGGGCGCCCAGAACCGAGTAGTCTCTGCACGCGCCCACCGACAGCCTTCTCGGTCTATGGAGGATCGATTGGTTTCTATCGGCCGCGCAGCCTCCCTCTCGCCACTCAGCCATCGCCGCCGCTGCGTCTTAGCCGCGTGTATTTTCAACTCGCGTTCAACGTCCGTGAGCTAAAAAGAACTCAACGAAATGATGTACTTATGGCTTACTGGTGTGCCTTACGGCCTTGCCTGGCTCAATAACGACGACCGATGCTTTTAGCTTTTGAACATTTTAGCGCCAATTTTCGAAATGCTTTTGGCACCAATTATTTTGGATTGATGCGTTGTTTAATTAGCATATTAAATGAAATTAAATATTTTGCAAAACTATGGTGCTCAGTCAAAGTCAAGGCAGATGTAAATAATTTCTATCGATCATTTGAAATTAGAATATTTTTTTGAAACACATTTGGATGAATGTGTCGTTACATACAGGAAGAAAAAAAATGCATGTTTGTCTTCTTTCAGTGCCGCCTGTTTAGTTCATTATTATTTTCGCAATACAAATATTCATTTGACTCCCAAGTCTCAAGCACCAGCTCACGCCATGGTGGCCCCCATCTAGAATTTGTCCTCACATCTTTCATAGGTCACCGTAACATTTTGTTGTTTGGTTTCAAACAATTATATCTTCTAAACTGTTTATCTAATTAACGATCCATTTCCACCATTATGTTTGTCTTGATTAAATCTAAAATTTAAGACCTATATTGACTATGTTTTGAATCTTAAAAAATAGTGACATGTTGGGCCCAAATTTTATATGCCCACAAATCTTAGTATAAAAATATAGTCAATATTGGTCTTATTTTCTAGATAAAATCAATACAAATAACGTGATGCAAACGAAATGAAAATTAGTTATGTGGTTTAGGAAATAATATCGCCTAAAGCTTTTGTATGCTTGCGGGGTGATTTGATGAAACCCTAAAAGTGAGGTGAGAGGAGTGAGGAGGTGAGAGAAATATGAGAGGTGAAGACATGGTTGCAGCTGTGTGTCAGAGTTTTGGGACCAGCCCACCAGTGAGGAAAAGAGGAGAGGGAGGGGGGAGTTTTGGGAGAGCTCCTGAGGCGCGACAGTCCAATATGCCGGTGCCCGTGAGTGCTCGAAGGCTCTCTCGTTGTAGAATTTTTTAAAAAAATAATATTATTTTAATTATTAATTGCAAATATAACATTCGGATAAAATGAAGTATAAATCTAGTAGTATATGTAGTTAGTTTAGTTTGATTTTGTTTTTTTAGTTAGTTTAGTTTAGTTTAGTTAGATTACTTAGTAAGTTTAGTTAGATTAGTTAGTTAGTTTAGTTTTAGGGTTAGTTTTAGTTGTAGATTAGTTTTAGGTAGATTAGGATTAGTTTTAGGGTTAGTTTTAGTTGTAGATTAGTTTTTTAGTTAGATTTTTAGGGTTAGTTATTTTTAGTTAGGTTCTATGGTTCGATTTATTTACCCTTTTCCACCACCTTCATGTCCACGTGAAGAATGGGAGGTCTCCTGCAGCAGCACAACAACCCCATGGACGGGGGCAGATCATACCTCTCAGTCGACGTAATTTTTTGATCCGCCCAATCACAGCCCTGAAAGTTGGCTGAATTTTCTGATCCGCCACAATCACAGCCCATAAAGTCGGTGGATTTTTCTGATCCGACACAATCTCAGCCCTGAAAGTCGACGAAATTTTGTAATCTATTCCCCTCTCCCTCAGACGGCCCATGGAAGGGATGGATCATACCTCTCGGCCCTGCAAGTCGGCGCAATTTTCTTCACTCCCTTCAGAGTCGCCCTCCATAACTCCTCCGATGGCCCCGCCCTCCTCTGTACCAACTCCGGCAGCCTCACCATCCCTACCTTCTCCGGGGGGTCGATGGCGCGTGGGATCCTCTTCCATCGCCCGGGCGTCCTCTGCCTTGCGGCCATCAGCAGACGGCCCGTTGCCTGATGCCCCGACGTAACTCCGGCGCCTCCGTCGACCGGATCAATCTCCATGTTCTGGATCGGGTTGATAGGGCTACTAGTTTTTTCTTATTTCAATTGGACGGCGCGACCGGAAGCTGGAGCCTGGGCCTTTTGGGGTGGGGCATATGCTGGGTCCAAATCAGCTTTGGCACCGATAGCCTGACATCGGCCCAAGATGTGGGGAGGAAGGTAGGCCTAGGTTGGACATCGAGTAGAGCTCGGCCCAACACTATGAAAAAGTCAGCCCAGTTTATTTCTCCCCCTTCCTAATAAGGAAAAGTCCATATTACCTCCCTCAAATTTTGCAAAAGTATGATTTTCCTCCCTGAACTCTAAAACCGGGTAAACTACCTCCCTAAACTTTTAAAACCGTTCGTTTTACCTTCCTGAATCTTTGAAAAAATCATTGTAAATCACAGAAAAATCATAAAATGGAAAATCCAATTTTGTTGGACTCCACATGAGTAGATCTACATAGTAAACATATAATATGGTATGCTTTAGTACAAATTTTTTCCATAGCTTTAGATCAATGCTTTTCTGTAATTAATTCATAGCTACAGTTTCTATGGTCCAATTGTGGTGAAATTTTTATGGTGTGCTAATTATTGTATGTTTAAACTGTAGTAAAAATTTCATACTCATTGAATCATGTATAACTTCGTTATAGATTTATAAATAATTTAAATCTATAACTAGCAACGATTAATCGACGTGGTCAGATTGGAAAAGCGTGGTCTAACTCACGAGGCGCTTTATCGGGACTGCACGGTTAGGCGATGGTCACATGCGGGTGTAGTGGTTTGGCAAACGTAAGATCTGGCTTAGGCCTCAGCACATGGCCCAGCGTTTGTTGTTCCTGAGACCACACGGCCACACGACGCACTGAACCTAGCTTGCCCTCCTGGAAACGGGATTGCCAACTTTCAGAGACCGTAAGCAGCAAGTATTATTGCCGATGAACCATGATCAGTTGGTGATGGTAATTACAGAGAAAGAAAGAGGAGACAAAATGGAGCAACAAGAGAGAGCAGCAGGGAAGACCCAGGGCACAAATCCTCGCTTTTTTTTTTCTTCTCTCTCTTTCACTCACTCACTACTGTGTATTTTCACCTACAAAACTAACCAAATATCATCCACCAGTTGAGGGAGGTAATGTGGATTTTTTCCTCCTAATAATCTCCTATAACCTGCGTGGTGATTGGGGTGATAACGAAAACGATAATTCTCAATTTCCGGAGATTGTTTTCATGATTTTTCCGTTTTTTAAGCTTAAGCAAAAACAGATTACGGAAAAACGATGATAAGATGACATGGACCGAAAGCAAAAAATGATTTTATATTCTTGATTGAGAAATACTGTATTTTGCCGTCTTCGACAGGTCAACTGCATGTATAAAATGTTGTAAAATCCTTCAATTTTCTGGTCAACTACCTCGTCTTTATACCTGCATGTATGACCACTTCTTTCCTCTATCTATAATATAAAGATATTGTAAAATCCTTCAATTTTTTGAGATTTTGCAAATATTTTTCAATGCAACTCTATACATGTAACTTGCTTGTTTTTATAACTAAAATATTTAAACGATATTTGCCGGGTTCATAAACCCGGGTTCCCTCATGGACAGGCTTCCCAACAAAGGCTCGGCCCAACAGAAAAACGTTGCGAGCAACGCGCAACTCATGGGCCAGCCCAAATACCTAGACGACAGGCCAGAAGGACGATCCAATCTCCGATCGGAAGGCCTGGCCGAGGAGGAACGGCGCCCGCTTCCGACTCCGGCCCACCTCTCTGATCGGAGCGCTCGCTTCGGTCTCCAGCCCACCTCCGGACGGCCTCTCCGACCAGAAGGCCTGGCCAAACACCGCTTCTGACTCCGACCCACGTCTCCGACAGGGAATACGCCGAACCGCTGCTTACAGCTCTTCTTCGACTGGCACAATCAGAGCCGACTGGGACCAACCGACCGAGGACGCCCACTCGGTAAGGACCAGGAAACAGACGGAGAAAGTAAGGCAGCGCACTCAAGTCAACTGCAATACCGAGGACCATACCCTATACACCTGCAAGACAGTACCCTGCGACCTCCCTAACATGACAGAACACAAGCAGTGTTGTAGGCGCCGACATTTTCCCATACAGTGTTGTGGGCGCCGGCATTTACCGTACCAGGCGAACATGGTAAAACCCCCTACATGTCTCTCGGCATCAATAGTATGCCAGGCACCGACATCTGCCATACCGGAAGAAGACGACGCAACTTCCCACGTGCATCGGACACTAAAATAGTATTGTGGACGCCTACCATCATCTTGTACCCACCGGCGTGGGCAACAAGACTTAGTAAGCATACACACTCTCTCCCTCTCACTTGTAAGGCCATCCCCTTCATCTATAAAAGGGGATGCGCTCTCTCCAACACAACTCAGTTGATTCAGATCGATCAAGTTCACTAGTACATAACAACAGAACCACCAGGTTCAAACCCCGAGCACACGCTCGAACACATAGCACATAGCGGAGCTCCCATCACTCTCGGCCCCTCTGACCAGTGTCCGACCAGACATCTTGTACCCCCATCTTTCTTCTTCTCGTTTGTAACCCCACTGTAAACTTCGAGCACCTACGCTCAGGAATAAAGTCACCGACCGACTCAAACTAGACGTAGGGCACGTTGCATGAACTAGTATAAACCCTATGTCATTGAGTACTAGGCCACCTCCGATCACAATGTACGGCAAAACTACAAATATTTACGTATTGGTCACTTTCTGCACCGATAGTTGGTGCCGTCCGTGGGGAAGACGTTGTACGTTCAACACTTTTTGGT